ATGACTAATTTTATTTTATTAATTTTTTTCTGCCAATGCATGTGTCAAAAACAGACTGGCAGAGATAAATAACGTTAATTAAATCTTACCTGAAGTCACAGTGAGGTTCCAAAAGCCAGACGCCATACACGCTTGCAGAAGTTGCTAAAAATAAGAACATACCAACATATAAGAACATACAATATTTTCTACTTAATTTCATAGTTCCCCCAAAACAATTTGAATTCTGTCATCACTCACCCTTAAGATTATACAAACCATCTAAGACTTTCGTTCATCTTCCAAAGAAAAGCGGAGATATTTTAATAAAAATCTGAGAGATTTATGTCCCTCCGATGAAAGAAGATTCACCAAAGATGTTCACGTTTCAAAAAGTTGAAATCGCAAAAAAAACATCGCCAAAGTAATCCATATGAATTGTGTGGTTTCCTCCAAGTGCCCTAAAGAGACACGATCAGCGACCGCTCTACATAAAACTATTTAAATTTATACTTGGATTCACATTCAAGAGACATTTGCACGCACATCACGAAGCTTTCTGGGGTGAGCTCATTATCATATGAACCAATAAGAGCCGTTCAATGGCTCTGGAACCAATCAGGTTTAGTCAGTGTGTTGTCTGAATTTAAACAAGCAAACGCAGGTTTTTGTTTTGTTTAGTTTTTTTCATATGTAATGTTGAAATCCTTGTGGGAATTTCAGAAATATATATTAGAAAATAAAGGCATCAAGCTTGAACAAATTTATAAACACCTTGCTTATTACAATTAATGTATCATGTAATGAACAACAGCCTAATCAACCAAAGTAGCATAACCTTTTAAGTAAAACTGAACAACATATTAAACAACATATTTTAAATATCGCAATGCTTAATAATAGTTGATAAACATTTGTACATTGTAAATGTTAAAAATGTTTTTCAAAATATTGTAATTTTCCAAATATTAAAATTATAAATACATAAATATTTAAAATATAACCATGTGTAGGCCTACAGAAATATAAAGTACATTAAAAATTCACTAAAAGTGTAATCATTTTGTTATGTTCTTACACAAAGTAGACATAAAATATACTTTAAGGGTAACATAAGTATGTTTTCTGTAAATACACTAAAAAGTCACTAAAAGTATGCTTGTATTTAGTATATCCCTTAAAAGTGTAACTAAAAATATATTTATTAACATAGTATTTCTACTATACTATAGTTCACCCAAAAATGTAAGTTATGTTGTTGTTGTACTAAACCTGTATGAGTTTCCTTCTGCTGTCGAATGCAAACGCTTATATTTGGAACAATACTGGTAACCAAATGACTTCCATAGTATAAAAAGAAACACTATTGGAGTCAACAGGGACCAGAAACTTTCTGGTGGTTACGAATATTCTTCAAAATATCTTCTTTTATGTTGAGGAGAACAAAGAAATTCATACAGGCTCAGAACAACTTGAAACTGAGTAAATGATGACAGTATTTTAAATTTTGGGTGAACTATATCCCTTTAAAATCTACTCGTATAATGCCAGGATCGCATAATAGCCAACTAGTGCACATGCTTTATCTTTAACTATTAACGTTCATTTAAGACACAAATAACTGTGTTGACGAGGAGACAGGCATTTTGACACATAATTATGTGTTCGAACGTTTAAACACAAGGCGCGAAAAATAACTCTATAGTCAGGCGCTGTAGGAGCAAGTATCAGAAACCGTCTTAATGCGCGCATTTGCCCAAATGAATTCTGCCCCACTGCTTAATGCCCCTGAACAGTCAAATTAGTTTTTAAACCACAAAGCTTAAAATGCGTTTAAAGGAAAAGCTTACATCATGACGCGCAAAATGAAATTCTCAACCCATAAGCGAATATGCTAGCCCTATAGAGTTTGTTCAAACAAAAAAAAGCACTATACATCCATCAAGTTAATAATCAAACTAACCTAAAATCTGTGGGGATGATGACGCTGCGTTTTTATCTGCTCCATGTGTCTGGTCCATTTGCTGTTCCACAACTCCCACTCCATCAGCTTTAGTAAACTAAACTAGCTGTGGATTTTAGTGACTCACTCATGTTTTCCCCCTCTCCTCATTTTTTTCTCTCACTATATATTTTTTTGAATAGTTGACATTTTTACTTATCGAAGATTGTTCTTTGCATGACCGTTTCTAGATTACGCCAGAATGAAGTGAAGAGAGGTGAATTTGCTTGGGCCCCGTGTTTGGGCCCCGTGTAGCCCAATGGTTAATGCGGCCCTGAACATGACTCCTGTGATGAACCGTTTTCGAATGACTTTTTCCTCTTTTTTGTAGTGCTCGAAATGACGGTCATAAAAAGCAACACACTATGAATTTGACTGAAAATCAAACGGGCCAGGAGGATTTAAACAAATTATTTATGCAAATGACAAGTTCATTATAATTGTCTCTTAT